TCAATCGAAAGTTGATATATATCGATGTCATGGATGAGCCCCCCTCCCCCCTCCCCCTCCCCCTTCCCGCCCGCCTGAACTTGAGCAAAGTTAATTCAATTAAATATATGTTTATATTCGTTTGAACTCGGGTGAGCTATGAACTGACTGCGGACTGTGCGAAGTTGTTTTTACTTCAATTCTGGTTTTAGCATAGAAGTTGGACAATTTCACAGTTAATTAGTCGACACAAGTCTCAATTTATTGCGTGTGTTTGTTTTTTTGGGCGCCTTCTAAGCAGGAGCTTATTTCATTTAAGACCGAGACTATCGATCAGCTTGGCATACATTAAATAATTAAATGGCACAACATGCTATTTAAGAGCCCATTTGTCAACCAGTTGCCAGAAAAATCGAAACTATTAAGAAAAACAAAATCTATATCAAATATCAACAGAACTCCAAATGCGAAAACTAGTTTACCAGCCCAATTCATTAGCCAAATATTATAATTTATATGCGCAGATGATGAAGTGCTTCAACTTTGGAGGCAACCCTCGTCTCCGAATTAACACCGTGATCACATTTTGCAGTGCATTATTTATTCATATGTATAAATACCATATAATACTTAGTTTTTGGCTAAGAAGAAACGTGTTTCGATTCTTTGTGCTTATCATCGGCCCGTTGACTTTTTGTATATTTCTTAAATTTATTTTTGTGTTTGTTTGTTTCGCTTTTTGTGTGTTGTTTTAAGTATTTAAATGTTTTTTCATTGTTTTTTTTTTTTCTTTTGCTGTAGCTAATTCCGGTTCGACGACCCTTTCACTTATTAGAGCGGCGCGAATTCCACAAATTCACAAATAATTGAATTCAGATCTGATTTGGCATATATATGCATACAAAGATCTGATTTAGCTTTAATCAGCTGCAAACCAATTGGGCCACATTCCCAATTCAAGTGCCACACATCGTTAAGCAAATAAATACAATTATTTAAATAAATAAAACATGCAACAAATACGAGATACGAATATTGAACATCGGCACATTGCAAACAATGCAAATGTGGTAATTTTTATATACGCAGCTCATTGAAAATGGGCAAAAAGGGTATCTTGTTTTTGTGCTAATGTATTTAACAGGCAGAAGAAGACATATCCGATCCCATGAGGTATATATTCTTAATTAGTATCAATAATCGAGTCGATCTAGGCATGGAAATCTGTCTGTCCATTTGTCTGTCCTTCTGTCTATCCGTCTGTCTGTCCTTCTGTCTATCCGTCTGTATATCCATCTACCCGCGCAGTAAGAGTTTGTTTCCCTTTCCAAGCAATCGATAAAAATCGATATCGGAATCCTGTTGGCAAATCTCTTTGGATTTAATATCTAGCGTGGTCAAATTTGACTTTTAGCCTCTAGAATAGAATATAATGATGTGATAACATGATTTGATCTGATATACTGATCTTTCATTTTGTAGCTAACGAGCGCACTTGGTGTTGGTAAAACAAGATTCAGGGTATTCCCTAGTCGGGCACTTCCGACTAGAGCACTCTTACTTTTTTTTATACACATATATTTTTGCATTTGGCATTGTGCTACGCTTTGCGTTTCGGCAACTCCTGATTTTTCATGTTCAAGTAGCTGCATGCGAGGGTCATTTATTAAGCAATTAATTAAAGCACCGAGTGACATCACGCTCGACAATCTGCAAGGGTATTTAAGCTTCGGCTAGCCAGAAGTTGGGCCTACTTGCCTGTTATCATAGATTCTTTTGTGGAATCATGAAAGTGGATATGGCCTTTCGACATACTTGATCTCCATTTTTTAAGAATAGAAAATTAGTATTTTAATTGCATTACAAACTGCTTGCGTCATCTGGCTCATCTCTAGTCGTTGACTATAAATAGTCAGCGCTTAAATATATCTCGCGGAGCTAACAATAAATTTATAATCGACTAATTGTGGGTGTTGATGCGCGTTGAATGAGCCAACAAGCTGGCAATGACTGGCCACCAAACGTGTCAACTTATTCAATTTTATTTAAATATTTTACAAATATACAAAAAAAAAAAATCGCATTTAATTATGCGGTTTTAGCACTAATCGAATTATGTTAACAAATATGCAAATTGCAATATTGGCAAAGTGCAAACGTAACAGAAACCGCTGCAACCACAATTGCTAATTGTGGTTACTTTTTTTTTTTTTTCATCCAAGATGCGGGTGTAAAAGTAACCAAGCCGTAAAAAGTGACAGTGGATAAAACGAGGGCTGCTTCATGTGTTTTACGTGCTTCAGAAGTTGTTGCTACTTGTGCTTGGTAGAGATCAGAAATTTATTTTACTTTCAATCAATCAATTTTTTTTTTACTATGTGAACTCTTTGAGTATTAAAGTTTGAACCAGCAACTGGATTCAAAGTTGTTTTTAAGCCTTCCTTAAAAAACCAAACAGTTGTGAACCGAAACAGCGATCTTTTCTTTTTGAGTTCAAACTGTGAACCGAATCAGCGATATCTCTCATTTTTGGGTGGGAATAGTGAGTCGAACCAGCGACTTCTCTCATGTAAAACCAAGTTTATAAAACCAAACCTAAAGCCAGGCAGTTGGTTCGAATTGTGAACCGAACCAGCGACTTCTCTATTTACGGTTCGAGCTGTGAAACGTACTAGCGACTTCTTTTTTTTTGGTTCGAACTGTGAAACGAACTAGCGACTTCTCTATTTCTCTATTCTCTGGCTGCCACGAAATGTGGCAACAGCTGGCGCACTTGTGAGCTTTTTGAGGCCAACGCCCACAACAGCTGCTCGCAGCAGCAGCAGCAACAACAATAACAACAACAAACTGTCTTCTATCCCAAGTCTCTTGCGGAGCGGAGGAACACATGTAAAACATATGACAAAATATCTGTGAAAGATGCAAAGAAAGACAGCAAAACTTATCTAATTTGCGCTTTTGCATATATCAAATGTTTTTTGGACTGTTTTTGTATGTTTTTTTCTCTCTCAGTTTTCAGCTGATTTGCCTTTGTGAACGCCCACGTTTTATCGCTTTTTGATTATGTTAAAATGTATAGAAAGAGATTTAAAAAAAAATGCACAAATTAGAGTTTATCTACATGTGACAAAATTTATAATGCTCGTGTTCTGTCAACTAGCCCAAAGACACCCAACTATATGCGTATATGGGATCGATAATAAATGGACTCAATTTGCATACATGGCTAGAGAAGGGGACGCCCCTCCTCTCCCCGTCTTTCTCTCTATTTTGGTCATGTTTAGAATTGGGATTTATGTGCATAATGCAATTAGCTAAATGCCTACAAAAAAAAAACAAACATAATCAATCGTATATTATGTCATTTCAGATAGGATTGTCTAATGAACTCTGGCAGATAATTTGACAATTTTCAGCAAACATTATCATTAATCAATTTGGTTAATTTGTTGTGCAGCAAACATGGCTGTATGCGGGCCGTGTGGGGCGGGGAGGGGCGGGGCGTTGCCTTTTACAACATTTTATGCCTGCTCATTAAATTCAGGATGACATTATCCTGTTTTATGCGAGTGCTTTTGGTATTTTTTTTTTGCGTAATTCCATGCCTTATCTAATTCATGCAAATTTCGCATCTGTTTAATGGCGCAATAAATGGCTAAAAAAAGGGCTCCATGCGGATTTGCGGCCAGCAACTAATTTGGTTATTTCTGCCGTAATTAGTTTATGTTAATTGGCTTTTGTTGCTGGCAGCCTTTTAAAATGAAATTAAATGCGCTGCTGTGAAATTCAGTTGCGGGGTTGCATAAAGTCTTGCACTTGCAAATGTGAATAAACATTTTTTCAATTTTTGCATATACAATTTTTGTATTAAGCTTAAAACCGAACTTGTTCAAAAGTCAAATGGCCAAACAAGAAATTATTGAAAATTATTGTTAATACTTTTAAGCTGCATATTTGTTTGTTTGCTTGAAATTTATATGTGCGTTTGTCTCAAATACGCTTGTGGAGGGGCTATTCAAATTTTGTGAGGAAATGTGTGACGCATAGAAGAAGACAACTCCGATTATGAATTATCTGCATATACAAACGATTCTATATAGCCAGATCTGCCTGTTTGTCTATACCATATAGTTGACCTACTTCGGCATTTGTCAGTTTCACTTTGATCCTGAGATATCAGCAATATCTTATCTTAACAGAGGACTATATACTATACTACATTCTATTATATAATACTATATACTACTATATACTACTATAAGTATATAAAAAGTAGTATATAGCAGTATATAGTAGTATATAGTATTATATAATAGTATAGTATATAGTCCTGCTACTACTACTACTGCTATATCATATAGCTCGAAAGAAAGAATCGGTCATAAAAAGCTTTTTGCAGATATTAAAAATCTCATATATTACAATCTACAAAATTCTCTCTCCACACATATCTGCCTAACCCTGGTCACACTTAAAGGGTATTTCAACTTCGACCTGTCGAACAGTTAACAGTTCTTTCTGGTTTTCTGTTTTTGCATATTTTCGGCTTATTTCAAAAACAAAACAAAAGCTCAAACATTGCACAGCCCGCGAAACAGAAACCTGTGCTGGTTGCGGGGAGGGGGGGTAAAAACAAAAAAAAAAATGAAGATGCGCAAAGCGCACGCCAATAAAAAAGAAGAAGCGAAAAAAAAATAACCGAACTTATGCAATTTCTTTTCTGTTTGTTTTCAATTTCTGCTGCTGCGCTTTGGCTTTTGTTTCTTTTCTTCGCCCGCAAAAGTGTAAAACACACGCCAGCGAATTTAATGCACATATTAATTTTTTTTTTTTTTTTATCTTCTTCACATTTTCCATACACAATTTTCACAGTTTGGCACAGAGCTCACGAAATTGTGTCAGGCGGGCATTTTATGTTTTTTTTTTGAAATTTTTTTTTTGAATGCCTACATAAATATTTGTTGCCTGATAACAGCGGCAGTCAATGTTGTTGTTTTTGTTGTTGTTGTTGTAGTATGCACCTTATTTACGTAGTGTTGGCTGGATGCTGCTGCTGCAGCACTTGATGCGGATGCTGATGCGTGTTTTGTGGGCCCCCGCTTTGAATACGATATTCACGTGTCTGCCTCTTCGCGCAGCAACCGATCGACCGACGCGAACGACTGGCAGAAAGAAACTGAAAACTAAAACTGAAGACAAGAGCAAGACAAGAGCCATCGGGCCCCACGCCATGCGCGCCGTTAGCTCGCTGCGCTGCCGCTGCGGCTGCTGCTGCGCCGACGGCTGCTGTTAGTGTTGTCAGTTTCGCTTTTTTCCGCAGCAACCAGCTTTTTTCAGGCGACGCAACAATTTTGCTGCCTACTTTTGGGCCTAAAAATAATAGTAAACAACAATTTAAGTTTCTTTTTTTGCGGTTTTGACATATGCCTTTTGCTGCTTTTGGCCAGTTTTATGTGTCTGACGATCGTAAAAGGCAGCGCGAGCAACTAGTTTGAAGTCTGCCGCCAGCCTTCGCGGCGGTAGCTGCTGTCATTTTAGAGCGCGTCTAAAAGTATGCTTTAAAAATGATGACGCCGCGTCTCGCCATATAACGGCAGCGCACAGTCGCGGCCATAAAAAGCGGCTGCCATTAAATGTGCGCCCGCCACAGACAAAATAGAGGACACAGCATCATATCAAAATTGTTTGCTGGCGGCAGCATTGACGTCATTTAATTATGATTACGGTTAACGGGAACCGGAAGGGAGCATTAAATGCAACGGGTATCCTGCATAAAATGCACGTAATAGCGCGTAAAAATAAAACAAAACAACAACAGAAAAAGTACACAGAAGGGATATATATATATATAAATGGGCAACATTATTCGCGTTTGGCTAAGTGATTTTCCAGCTTTGCGCTGACCCCATAAAATGATTAAAAGCTTATGCAACTGTGTGTGTCCTTTATGACATGCACACAGAAAATTTAAAAATGTTTTTTTTTTTACACGCGCCATAAATTCAATTAGTCGATTCGCCGACTGTCAGATGTCAGCGGCAAGGTATTTGCATTGACCTTTGCGCTCGCAAGGCAGGTGAGCAATAGGTCATACCTACACACACACACACACGCACACGCACAAAAAACGGCCTAAGCTCCACTCGATGCGAGTCTGCTTATGTCATCGTCATCATCGTCCTCAGCGTCAACTTGATCAGGTTCATTATTATCATTAGCATGCGTGTGTGTGTGTGTGTGGGTGTGTGTGCTCGTATGGCTTCCTGCGCCTGCAACAGAAACGTTAAATATAAAATCCTATTTATTTGCCAATTTTACAATCGAGTGCACAGCCAACGACAGAGGACAGTGACGTCAGCGCGCCAAGGCGCCAAGCCAGAAGCCAAAAACTATTCACACCAACGACAGCCCATGCCCTTTGTGACTCTCTCTGTGTGTGTGTGCTTGCATGTGTGTGTGTGTGTGTGAGAAGCAAACGCATAATTTCATTACCAAAGCCCGACGTTTGTTTTCAATGATGTCATATGGTCGTCTTTAGCCGGAAGTACCAAGTTCCTGTGGCCAAAATGACGCGCAGGCGCACATACAAAATGGCTGCCATTGAATGCAGTTTCCGCTCTTTGTTTGTGACGTCATGACTCTCTTCGAATGTGCTTTGACTCGAGGCGCAGAACTTCTTTGTGACTCTGGCGCTGGCATCGTTATTGCACGCGCAGCTGTTGTGATACCCTGTAAATAAATGGTGCTAGAGGGTATAATTTTTATAGATTTAAAGTCAACTTTAGTTAAGTTAGGTGTCTTTGAGTTATTAAGAATGTTTTTGCTTTAACATGGCTGGCAAATTTTCGCTGCTGGGTATCTAATCGTTCATCATTTGGCTGCTCATGTCAGCTACGCTTGTTATGTGATGGGCCTTTACTGCTTCATTTGGCACGGTTTTTGTTATGCTGCCCGCTGGGCACATGGGTAAATAAATATTTATCTTAAAGTGCGCTGCTTGTTTCGCAGAATCCTCGAGTGGCCCGCACTTGGGTAGGCTCTTCATTTGGCTTGGCTCTTGGCTGTTGGCCTCTCGACTCTCGACTCTTGTTGATTTTGCTTTTATTGTCGCCTTGGAAGCTGTTGTAACTGTCTGTGAGGACATTAACCCCGAGTGCGAGTGCCCTGCTCTGATTGAAGTATTGAATTACATGGCCGACATAACAACAATAGCAACAAAATACATTTTGCGACAAATTTGCTGTAATTTATTGTGTATTATCTTTGTATTTGTATTTGCGGTGGTTTTACGTGGGCATGGCAAGGGGTGCGCCCAAAAAGGGTAGACAAATGTCACATTATGCAAACATTTTCTTTGCCCATTTCCCATTTCCACAGGACTCTGTGGCCATTAGTCGAAAGCCAAATAAACAAATCAAAGGACCTCACAGGCCTCTAACTCGATTGACATTGACGCAAATGTAAAATAAATCAAATACGAAACGTTTTTTTTTTGTTTTTTCAATATTTTGTTGTTGTTGGCTTTTCTTTTTTTTTTGCTGGCCCATCAGAGCGGCGGCTGCATAACAAATTTATCGCCGGAAGTGATTTTCGCTGAAATCCAATCAATAAAAAATTATGCTGCTGCTAAAAATAAAGCCAGAGAACAGAAACAGCATTTTTTGGTGGCACAACATGGCGACTGCCTAAAAGTAGGCAACGATAAAATTAAAGCACCCTGTGTGCGTCTGTGTGTGTGTGTGTGTGTGTGTGTGTGTGTGTGTGTGTGTGTGAAGCTGGAATCTGTTGTTAAGCGCTGAAAAATACAAAAAGTGCCCGCAAATTTATGAGGGAATCTCTCTCGCCCTCTCTCGCCCTCTCTCTCCCTCTTTATCTCTAGGGAATTTTGTGGGAGAAACGCCGTCTGTTGTCCTTGTTTTTATCTCAATACGTGCGACTGGCTTTAGATTCAACAATTTTCAAGTTCATATTGCCTAATTTATGCTTCATATGCTCAAATTCTATGTAATGCCCCGTTTATTTTCATAAAGCCTTAATAATACCCTATTATAGTCAAAAGCTTAACTATTACCGAATTATAAATGCAAATACGATTACGTGCGGCAAACGATTTTCGAGTCCAGGCAACTTTTCAACTGGGCTTAAATTTAACTGCTGCAGTTAAATGTAAATTAGTTTAGCTTTGGCTTTTGGTTTTCTCATCCCCAGTTTAGGAAATTCAATTATTGCCCAGAGCCAAGTGGCCAAACAAATTGTTAAGTAAATGGCTAAAAGCACTATGGGTAAACACTTAAGAAAACACAACTCAAAGCTGTTTATATTTAGAGTTCGTCCTGACTGACTGACTAACTGACTCGTGATCAAGGTAGAGCTCAAATTTGAAGAGGTGGAAAGCGGAAATAGGGAGAGGGTTGCGGAAAATTTGTGGGGGAATACGTTGTTCAAAGTAGGTATGAAAAACAGCAAGAACATAAAAGTGAGAAAGTTGGTTCAAATTCATCATACAAACAATATCGTTGATTATTAGATCCAGACAACGCCGGGTAATTTCTTCTAGCTGTCAATAATTCAATTACATTGGAAACACAAAACGTCAGCTGTTAATAGCTGAAAAGTGCTTTCCATAAAAATATGCAACAGTTTTATTTATTTTTAATTTAACTTTCAAGTGCAATAAATATAAATAGAATATTATATTTGATATGCCAACAGCTGAGAGCCGGAAGCCGGAAGCCGAGCGCCAAGCGCCAAGCGCTGGAATGCTAAAGTTCAAGTAATACGCCATTTTAGATAAATCAACAGCAAAAAGCACAATGTAAACGAGGCGAAGCGCAGACAAACAAAAGAACAGAAGCAGCAGCAGCGGCAGCAACAGCAGCAGCAAGAAAGAAGAAAGCGAGAATATGAAGAGCCGCAACAATAAGAACAGCAACGGGGCTTGCGGCTAAGCGTGCACTGTAAAAGCGAGTGAGAGAGTGAGCGAGTGAGCGAGTGAGAGCGAGCGAGACAGAGACTGCGAAATATGTAAATAAACAAGGCAGCACAAGTCAAAGCCAGAGGCGCAAAAGGTTGCCTGCTAATTTATGGCCACAGCACACACACACACACACACATACGCACACGCACACAAGCACAGGCACGCATACGCTTAAAAACGAAACGAAAAACTGTTCAGCACGTGCAATTTGGCAAATGAGCATTGGCCGTGACGTCATATCGCGCACCGCTGATAACAGTGCATGCGACGAGCGGCGAGCGGCGCTCTTAATAAACGCGCTGCCAACGTAAGAGAGCGCGAGCACGCAAGAGAGCAGACGCCAGCGGCCATATAAAAAGGCGCGCACACTGCAGAAGCGCCTCAGTTCTTCAGTGGAATTGCCGGTGTTAGCAAGCGGCAAAGGAATAACAGAGCTTGCAAAGCAACTACAACAACTAAACACCAAGCACAATATGTACCAAAAGTTAATAATATTGTTATAAACATAAAAAAACGAACGCATATATTTTTTTAAACATAAAAAACAACCAACAACAATAACAACCAATGTGCTTAAAGTGTGTGAAAATGTAAAAAATATAAAAAAAAAAAGCAAAGTTAACTTAATCTATTTAGCACATAAACATAACTAAATTTACACGCATTGTTACTAAAAGAAAGCCGTGCAACAATTGCCATTAAACATATTGAACTGCGCAGCAAAATATGCTAAGAATCAAAGCATCAAGATTGACAACAATTTGCAAGTGAGCGGCGCCAAGCGGCCAGAAAAGCGACACAATTATAATTTAAATAACAACAATAGCAACAACGACAACAACAACAACAACAACAACAGGTAAGAGGCGGGAGTAAAAGTTTTCCGGGAAATATGTTAATTTCACATGTAAATAAAAAACGAGCATGCAATAAACACACACAAGCACACACATATAAATATAGTACATATTTTACACACACACACCTCAAAGCGTCTTTCGCAAGCGTAAAAAGATATAAACAAAATAAACAAGAATCATTCAACGAATGAAGGCGGCAACTGAAAAGCCAATGTACGCTGTTCCAATGATGACATAAAAAATGAGCACAGCTCCATGAAGAGAACCGAAAACATCGGGTAAAAATAAAAATATATAAAAAATTTAAATGTAAATAAATAAAAAAAAAAACAGCAACACAAGCTC